AGAGTTATGCCGGTTCCATCGGCTCCCCGCCAAGAAGAGGGATCCGGGCATCGTCAGCAATCTGTGCCGCTGCTCCATAAACAAAGTAAGCTGGGAAGCGTTTTCAGCAAACAAACACAGTGCAGTCTAACTCCACATGCAAGACAGAAATCACATGACCACAAATGTAGTCTTATTAATAATAATAATAACTCTTATAATCAACACTGCAGATACATGACAGAAAATAAATCCCAAAGCAGAGAATCACTTGAATTCACGCAGCTTCCCAAAGCAGGAGCACTGACACCAAACTCCTGTCAAAATTTCGACAATTCTGTATTAACCTACAGTCTGGTTTCATGAATATGGCTCGATTGTCTTCATCTTAATCATGTTATTGTCTTGATTATATTTACACAGTGCCATATCATTGAGCACATCAATCTCCTCTGTTCAGAAACGGTGCTCTTCAACGTGATCCACATCTTAGAGGGGGAACTGACTGAGGTGGGTAAACACAGGCCGGGCTCTAATAATCTGTTGGGTGATTGAAAGATCTTGAATAAAAAGTTTCTCTAAAATGCAAATCTTTACAATATTGCAACGTGTGGGGATACTAATTAGAGGCAGCTGAAATACAAGTCAACATCTCCACAGTCAAGTGTAGTCTCCACAAGTCTCAATCGTTTAGTAAGAAAAGCACACAGGAATCCATTGCTTACTTAACATAACGTAGCATGTTTGGAGTTTGCTAAGGAGCAAGATTATGCAGTCTGAGGCCAAAGCTGAATTATATATATCAGAAAAAACTGCCTACAAGGAGAGGAACATCATTCCCATAGTCAAACATGGTGGTAGGGTTGCTGATGTTTTGGGGGTGTACGTCTGCATCAGGCACTGGAGCTCTGCATGAAGTGGAAGGAAGAATGAATGTAGCCCAGTATCAGAAGATTTTAAAGCGCAGACTCCTACCATCAGTCAAAAAGCAAAAAGCTAAAGATGAACAGGCAGTGGATCCTTCAACAAGACAGTGATCCAAAGCATAGAGCAAAGCCAACTCAGGAAGGGTTTAAAAACAATAAGCTGAATGTTTTACCATGGCCTTCCCAGTCTCCAGACTGAAATATTACTGAAAAACCTGGGGATCAATTTGAAGATGGCTGTACACAGCAGACAACCAAGCACCCTGGTAGACTTAGTACAAGTATACCATGAAGAATGGGCTAAAATTACACCTGAACGGACCCAAAGAGGTTGGAGGTGGTTAGGGAGGACATACAGCGCTGTGAAAAAGTATTTGCCCCCTTCCTGATTTCCTATTTTTTTGCACATTTGTCACACTTAAATGTTTCAGAACAAAAAAATTTAAATATTACACAAAGATAACCCAAGTAAACACAAAATCCCCAGGACTTTTGGGAAATTCTGTGGACTGCCGTGGCAAACGCCGAACTGTTTGAAAGGTGTGGGTCCCGTTACATCTGGCGCAAAACTAACAGTGTTTCAGAAAAAGAACATCACACCAACAGTCAAATATGGCGGTGGTAGTGTGATGGGGCTGCTTGGCTGCTTCAGGACCTGGACGACCTGCTGTGATTGGTGGAACCATGAATTCTGCTTTCTATCAAAAAATCCTGAAGAATGTCTGGCCATCAGTTTGTGACCTCAGGCTGAAATGCACTTGGGTTCTGCAGCAATGATCCAAAACACACCAGCAAGTTCATATCTGAATGGCTTAAAAAAAAAAAAAAAGATGGTTTTGGAGTGGCCTAGTCAAAGTCCGGACTTGAATCCAATTGAGATGCTGTGGCGTGACCTTAAAAAAGGTGGTTCATGCTCCAAAACCCTCCAATGTGGCCAAATTAAAACAATTCTGCAAAGAAGAGTGGGCCAAAATTCCTCTACAGTGAGGTAGACTCATTTCCAGTTATCATAAATGCTTGATTGCAGTTGTTGCTGCTGAGGGTAGCACAACTAGTTATTAGGTTTAGGAGGCAGTTACTTTTTCACATATGACCACGTAGGTTCGGATAGCTTTTTTCCCTTAATAAATAAAATCATCGCTTAAACTGCATTTTGTGTTTACTTGGGTTATCTTTGTCTAATATTTAAACTTGTTTGATCTGAAACATTTAAGTGTGACAAATATAGAAAAAAAAAAAAAGAAACCAGGAAGGGGGCAAATACTTTTTCACAGCAGTATAGAATATTAAAGAACATTTCATAGTCAGATGCAAACTTTTTCACTGATATAATTTTAGTTTTTCTTTTTTTAACCATAACTTTTTTTATTACACTCCCTGGCCATTTTTGTTACTTCTGTTGATGGAGGAACATTTGTACATTCAATAGCAACCGGACTAGGTTTTTAGGTCCAAGACGTTTCACCTCTCATCCAAGAGGCTTCATCAGTTCTGCCCGACTGGCATTGAGTTGGGAGATATTTATCCCCATCGGTGGTGTTTCAGTCCTTTGATGACCCTTAACGACTGAGCCATTATAGTCCAGTGTTGGTGAGCATTGTTACCCGTCTTTGAACCCTCACCTGTGGACCAACGCCTACTGTCCTGGCGGGCATGTTTGTGCAGAGATCTCAAAACAGTTGTACATGGATGACAAGTTGTGTCTTAGTCCAGGGGGCCCCCAAACCCCAGTCCCCGGACCAAGCGACACAAGCTAAGCCTTTAAAAAAAAAAAAAAGAGCCAAAAACAAAATGCACTGGAGAGCTTTGTCGGGAAGGAATGAGCAAACGATGGGACAGCAAAAGGGTCACAGACTGCCAGCAAAAAGAAAGATGCATTCAAAATAAAATACCACGATTTCTACCTAAGTTACGGGTTCATCGCAACAGGTGATACACAAGCTCCACACCCACTATGCATAATTTGTGGTGACCGACTAGCTAATGAAACCCTCAAAAATGCTTTGCCACATTGAGACAATGCGTTCAAGACAAGCCCTTGGAATTTTTTCCTAGTTGCAGGGAAACAAGCCCAGGGCTCCCAATGACTCTAAATTATGGTGAGTTGATATTATAGTGTAGAATTATTGTAATTGTCTAATATAAAGTAATTGTTGCATTCAGATTACATGCTATGAACTGACAAAGGTGTTTGTTATTGGAACCCCAGTGCCTCTACCTGGTCTGCGGAAAATTTTTCATACATGACACCGGTCCCCGGTACAAAAAAGGTTGGGGGCCGCTCAAAAATGCTTTGCCACATTGAGACAATGCGTTCAAGACAAGCCCTTGGAATTTTTTCCTAGTTGCAGGGAAACAAGCCCAGGGCTCCCACTGACTCTAAATTATGGTGAGTTGATATTATAGTGTAGAATTATTGTAATTGTCTAATATAAAGTAATTGTTGCATTCAGATTACATGCTATGAACTGCCAAAGGTGTTTGTTATTGGAACCCCAGTGCCTCTACCTGGTCTGCGGAAAATTTTTCATACATGACACCGGTCCCCGGTACAAAAAAGGTTGGGGGCCGCTGTCTTAGTCCACCACTCCTATTTAGCGAGGGGTGTTCTATTTTAACAAAAATAGCTTCCTGGACTCCTCTGTCAAACCAGCGGTGTTCTCTGGAGAGGAACTGGACTTCACTGTCCTCAAAAGAATGTCCTTTGTCCTTCAGGTGGAGGTGGACCGCTGACTCTGGTCCACTGGATTCTCTTGTCCTCTAGTTGTCAAAACCATCACAGACAGACAGATGGATAACCTGCTTGAAAGAATCCATATTTATAAGGCATCACTTACATTTTAAAATAGTGCTTTACTTCCTTTATCAAAAACACTCTAATTTGAATAAACAGTTAATCAAATCAAATTTATTTATATAGCACTTTAAAAATAACATCCAGTTGACCAAAGTACTTTACATGGCAGAATAAAATCACAACAAATGACTAAAATAGAGTAAATAAGATCAGTGCAAATAAAAATAAAACAGACCAGTCTTTGCCGCAGAGTGTTCCTGCCTTAAAGTTGACTGGGATATTGTGGCATCAAAGGACTGAAACACCACCGATGGAGATAAATATCTCCAACTCAACACCAGTTGGGCAGAACTGATAAAGCCTCTTTGATGGTTTTTTCAGCTTACTAAGAGACTGAGAATCTGCACACACACATTCAATATCACGTTGATGAGAAAATTCTTTTACTCATTTTGCCATTTCAAAGTAGTGCATATTATTTTATTTTGGGAGGTTAACGCCCACTTGTATTCTTGAGCTGTCCAGGCGGTGCATTTATTTCAATAAAATACTTTATTTCATGTCATGTCTAATATTTTTGCACTTGAATGGTTTTGTTGGTCAGAAGTTTTTTTTGAAAGCCATTGCCCCGTTATGTTGTTTCCTGTTTTTTCGCGGTCCTCCTCAGTAACTGTGGAAAGCTGAGGAGAGTTGAGGTGTATACTGTGTTCTTGTAATTTTAAGTGTTTTATTTCCATAAAAACAAACAAACAAACAAACAAACAAACAAAAAAAAACACTTTACTGTTCAGACTGTTATGGCAGAGTTATAAGCCATTGTTCTCTATTGCATTGTTGCTAAGTGTGTGAAAATCGTTCTGTCCTGTGTGAGGTACACCACTTTAACGTACAAACTAGCGCTAGTTGCAATGTCTTAGCTAGGTTGAAGCGCATCAAAGGTCTCACATGGAGTCTGTTGTCACCTTTTTCTGCCCTTCAGATGTGCAACAGGGAGACCCAATAAGTGGATGTAGTGGTTCAATTTTGTTTCACACAGAGAATAAACTCTCCTATGGATGGCATACCCCTGTCTACGATTCATCACTGAAGACACAACGCAGAGATTTAACTTGATGGCCGCATAGAGATGAGACCGGTTACACATACATATCATAAAATGTCCCCTTACCTCTTGACCCTTTGAAAACCTTGATATGTTCATGCTTGTTGGTTCCTGTGGAAGCGGAGGACAGAGAGTCGCTCATTTCCAGCTCTTGCAGCCAAGCGCAACTCTCCCCTGAAGCCATATTTGCCCATTAAACAGATGATCTCCGCTGGTATGGAAAAAAAACAAGTAGAACACTTGTTCAGGCTAAGCTGCATCTTGCACATATAAAACATTTTCAATAGAATACTCACCTGGATCATTCTCTGCAATGGTAATGAGGTAAAACAATCCTTTACTGGCCAGTAACTTGCATACCACAGGCAGAAATCTGTCCATTACTTCTCGTCCCCGCTTCCCACCAGCCCAGGCAGCCTGTATGCCTCTGCTGCCAACCTGGACACACACACACACACAAACCAGAGAAAATACAGACATGTTTGACACAGTATGCTTGCATAACCTGCACAACTACCTCTTCTGAAGGCGTCACTACATAGGGAGGGTTAAAAAGCAGCACTTCAACTTTTCCGGTCAGCTGGGGTAGAAGGCACTCCACCTGAAAACAGGAAATGACGGTCTTTTTTTCTGTTCTTTAATACCTGATATTAAGTTATACTAATAGATATTGAAATTCAACTCTCACCAGGTCTGTGATAACAGGCTGCAGTGAAACACTATTACAAGAAGCCGTCATGGCTGTGCACTCTGCGGCTGCAGGATTCACATCAGTGCAACTAAAACAACCATGGACAAAATGCAGATTACAATATGTCCAATACTTTCACTATCTATTAACTTCACACAAGAAAATCTCCAGATATCTGGAAAACACAAAAATAAACCTGGAGACTTTATCTCACAATTCTGACTCTGTATCACAGGTGTCGTTGCTTCTAATATTAGAGCTAAAAATCAGCTGTTAACCTCTCCTTTGCTTTACTTAATGGTATTATACTCCTTTTCAGCCACAAAGAAGGTCCAGTGAAACTCAACAGTTTTGCACCCTAAACGACTAGTGGTTCATGATTTCTGGTGTAAACCACAAATTCACCATGACAACATCTTACACTGACTCTTTTATCCAGTAACCTGATGTTTGCCAATACATAAATGTATGGCATGATGCAATTTTTATTTGATTTAGGGGCCTGTCATCAATGTGACAAGTAACTAAAGCGATTAAATAAATATCAAAATAACCTGCCATCTTAGTGCAAGGGTGGGCATTTCCGGTCCTCTAGGGCCCCACCCACTGCTGATTACCGGGATCATGTGTGTTCAATCAACGAGAAGCTGGAGGATACCAATTCACTTTATCTTTCCTCACACCACCTTTATCTAAGATGTATTTTCCAGCTTCTGATTGACTGAACACACCTGATCCAAGTAAGCAGCAGTGGGTAGAGCAGGGATAGTTGGAAAACGATCAGGACAGCAGATCTCGAGAACCGGAATTGCTCACTCCTGGTTTAGTGTGTTAGCAACTGACAAAAAAAAACAAACATATAAATTGTAAATACGAAAGCCTCTCACAGATATAAAGCTGAAGGTCCAACCACTGACGCCAAAAATGCAGACACCACTCCAGAGCCACTGCCAACCTCCAGGCACACGGATGGGCTACATGAAGACAAAGAGAAAAGCACACATTTAAGATTTCGGGTTAATTACAGTAAATATGTGATGCCCTCAGGAAAAAACAGGTGGGCTATATCTGACCTCATCCGCTGCAGCGTCTCTGCATCTTTCTCCAGCGCTTCTATCAAAAGGAACGAATCCTCCGACGGCTCGTAAACCTCCCCAAAGTTCCCTCTTCCAGCGTGAGAGTAAATAGGTGTGGGGTAGTTTGAACACATATTCACCACTTTCACCTAGTTTCTATCAATCGTTAGCCCCCTGCTTCGCTAATGTCGTTACACGTGGCCCAAGCTCGTGATTTCATAACAAAGTATTGTCAGTTCTGTCGAACCTACCTTTACACAGTGCTGCTTCACGTCCCAGTTAGTTTCAGCGTGTCGCAGCACCGCTCATTTTCCTCATAAAAGCCGTAAAATCAAAAATGAGTTACCTAACCCGTGAACTTCCGCTGCTAGCCCCTTCTTCTTCCTCTTTTTCTGGCATTTGCCAAACATCGTAATAGTGCATTACCGCCACCACGTGGACTGGAGCGTTGTTCGACAATCCATCCACACCCACATTTCACTCCGGAGCCTTCTTGCTGTGAAACAATCCGTTCCTTGGTTTGACTGTCTCTTTATCAAATTCGTTTTCTGAGGACAGAAACGAAACATAAAACTATATCTTCAGTTCAAATCATTAAAAAGTTTTAATTTATTAGGTAATCCTACCGATGAAGTGTCTGCCAATAAAATGCATGCCATTAAATACAGTTCCATGTACACTTCAGGGACTGAGCGGTATAGAAGATGAATGAATGTACACTTCAGAAGACTTACACACGCGAAAGCTGTTTGTATTCCTTGTGGGGACTTTACATTGACTTACATTAATTTCCTGTAGACTTATCCTAACCTTAACCATAACCACTACTTGCCTAACACCTAACCTTAAACCATGTTGCCACCCTAAAATTCAGTGGTTTCCTGGATGGCCGAGTCCCCACAACGTGAGTGTTAATAGGTTTCGGTCCCCATAATGTAAGTAATACAAAGGCACACACAAACTTATAACTGTACTGTTTTTATTCCCTACCACAAATCTGATCGGAGTGAAAATCTGTAAAAACTCTGAACCCGTGAAGACTAAACCAAGAAAATTTGTAAAATAATAATGTACACAAGAGTTGTTCACAATGGTATTAACCCTTTCAGAATCAGAATCAGCTTTATTGGCCAGGTGTGTTGGACACACGAGGAATTGGACTCTGGTACAGCGGCTCTCAATGTGTATGTACATATCAAGAAGCAAGGGAATGTGCATTAGAAAAAGAGATTAAAAAATTAAAAGTACCCATAAATAGAGACCTGCACACACACACACACACACACACACACACACACACACACGGTCTGGATTCAACAGATCTATACAGTACACTGATTGTTTCTTGTCAAGACATACTGTCGTGGGCAAAGTATTAATCAGAGTGGTGGCCTGGGGGAAGAAACTGTCCCAGTGCCTGGTTGTCTTGGCGCACAGTGACCTGTAGCGCCGTCCAGAGGGGAGGAGTTCAAACAGTGTGTCCGGGGAGTGAGGGGTCTGCAGAAATCTCCTGCGCCCGCCTTTTGACCTGTGAGGTGTACAGGTCCTCCATGGAGGGCAGGCTTGTATTGATGATCTTTTCTGCAGACCTGACTAGTGATGGCCGATGAGGCTTTGTTGAAAATTCGACACAGTAGTCACACAAATGGCTCATTACTCCAGGCTTCAATGACACAGTGCTCGAGTAGGACATCTAGTGGTCAATAAAATGAATTGCAGTCAAGACGTGTCCCTTAAAATGGCTCATTACTCCAGGCTTCAATGACACAGTGCTCGAGTAGGACATCTAGTGGTCAATAAAATGAAGTGCAGTCAAGACGTGTCCCTTATTGGTTCATGGATTGTTTGGGATTTGATTCGCCATGCACATTCCTGTTCGACTACACTACATGGTTGTATGGTTTCAAGCTGACACAATAAAATATAAAATAAACATGGACACATGTTGAAGACCATGTTTCTTATGTGGCACGTCTGAGTGTAACCCTATATACTCCTCACTTATATTTTGTGTAATGAAAACATTTAAATGGTGCTGCTACATTCATGAAATGTGCTCTACAAATTCAGACAGATGTCATTTTCACATGGGACTGGTGCAAATACAGATTATAGTATGGACTTCTGCAAAGTTTGTTTTGGGGTTCATTGGTAAAGAGGTTCATGAGTATGTGGGTAAAGAGGGTGTGCTTGAAGAACAGGGCAGTGGGTGTGCTTGTGTAACTGTTTGAGTTTTTATTGAGAAATAACAGTATATCCACAGTTTTCAGACACAAGCGGTTTCTCCTTTTACAGACTATTTCCCCAGCCTTAGAAAAAACACGTTCACATTGCACCGATGAGGCTGGGGTACACAGGATAACTCATAGAGGATTAGGTAACTATACGTATATGTATATGCAATATATCTATATCTATATATATTTTATCTATATATGTTATATATGTAATATATCTATATCTAATGTTATTTAGGACTATCTATTTAACTATGTAACTACTTTATCTATTTCTCTCTAACTTACTATCTAGCTATCTATTAATCTATTTCTCTATCTACAGTGATTTTCCACTAAATAGACAATCTGCTACAACACTACTAACTCTCAAAGCAACTAACGCAACAACAGCAACAAACCAACCTACTCTGCAAAGACAGATTCAAATGAACACCACTAAATAGGGATATCCTATCTCTGAACACACTCGATCTAAAGTGATTCACATGACAACGGAACCAATCAGCTGATTCACCTGACGTCCGAGCACAGTGTTTCGAAACAATTACTTTATGAGCTACCGCGCATGTGTCGAAGCCTCGGGTGTCAAAGGGCCATCACTAGACCTGACTGTTCAGGGGAGTCTGTTCTTGTCCTGTTTAGTTGCTGAGACAGTGATGGAAGTGCAGAGAATAGACTCGATGATTCCTCTGTAGAATTGTATCAGCAGCTCCTGGGGCAGGTCGAACTTCCTGAGCTGGCGCAGGAAGTACATCCTCTGCTGTGCCTTCTTGATGATGGTGCTGATGTTGGATGTCCATTTCAGGTTCTGGCAGATAGTAGAGCCCAGGAGCGTGTAGGGCTCCACTGTTGATACAGTTCAGCCAAGTATGGTGAGGGGGGCAAGGTGGGGGGGCTCTTCCTGAGGTCCACTTTCATCTCTACTGTTTTGAGTGTGTTCAGCTCCAGGTTGTTGCGGCTACACCACAGGACCAGCTGCTCAACCTCCCGTCTGTAGTGTTAGGTATTTTTAGTCAGATAGAAATTGGATAGATACTTTATGTATTAGGAATGTTTAGTGGAGATAGGATGTCTAGTTAGACTGTTAAATGCTTAGGCATGCTTATGAGTTTCTACAGGGTACATCTGGTCAAGGATACTAGAGAGAAGAGTTGATGACTGTCAGCAGACAGGGTGTTTAATATTATTATTACTACGTGTATAACTGTAGCCTTAGCCATAATATGTTCTTATGTTTAAGACACGACATGTACTAGAGGT